AGTTTCCGCATGAGCCTCAAAGGCAGCCCCACATAGAGTGTGTTACAATGGTCTAATCTCGAGATTACGAGCACATGGACTAGAGTAGTGAGGGCTCCCCGATCAAGATATGGCCGCAGCTGGGCAATCCGCCATAGATGAAAATAGGCGGAACAGACCACGGACGCCACCCAGGTTTCCATGGTTACCGCCGGGTCCAGATGTATCCCCAAGCTGCGGACCTCACTCTTTGCGGCAAGGGTCGTCCCTCCAAAAGAAAGGGAGTCACCTATGCCACTTTGTACTCAGAGAGAATATGTGTATATATATATTTATTCCTTTGTTTTATATATATATATAACAAAGGAATAAATAGTTTTACCACAGAGTCTATCTCTGCTTGAGATCTTCCAAATGTTTCAAGTCATATGCTTGCATCCTGAATTCTTGTAAGCAGAAGTCCATCAAAAGCAAAGCAAAGCATGCTGCTTATATACCGCCCTATAGCGCTTCAAGCACTCTCTGGGCGGTCTACAAGTTAATTATGCAGGCTACACATTGCCCCCTCCCCAGCAAGCTGGGTACTCATTTTACCAACCTCGGAAGGATAGAAGGCTGAGTCAACCTTGAGCCGGCTACCTGGGATTGAACCCCAGGTTGGTTGTGAGTACAGTTTAGGCTGCAGCACAGCAGTTTAAGCACTGTGCCATCAGTGGGATGCTTTCACTGGTTGGAACAGGGGAGTTGTTTTTCACAAGTTTGCCTTTTGCCATGAAGCCTTGAAATCTCTTGTGCCCCATGAAAATTTATTCTAGTGTGTTTTGGGCCCCTCCAGAACAGCATGGGAGATGGTAACATGAGGAGAATGTGGAAAAAAGGATCCACAAAATTACTTCTTTCTCTGCCACTTCCTCCAGCAGGAGACTCTGCTTAGTTGGAGTCCTTTCTGGGTCTAGAAGAAGTCATGGCAATATTGGGTCCCCGCCATAGATCACATACAGCACAGAAAAATCAAATATTACTTACCAGTTAGAATACCAACAATGAAAATTCTGTCATAAAACAAATAGATTGGACCCTGAACACAATTATTTTATTTTAATGCTGTGACTATTTAAATATCCTTTACTTTACATGGCACAACTTGACAGAAAATTGCTAGACTGAAAACAGAAGGAATAGCTTGCTATATCCGTATGGACCTGTACTCTGAAATATGTTTGTTTAAAGTTACTGACCATCTGTTTCATTGAACTGTGCCAGCATAGGAGTTTTCTATATAGATGAGCTCATCTCTTGGTTTAAACAGTTGATATGACCTAGTATATAATCAAACAAGGCACCAATAAAAATAGAACCTTTTTGGAGGACTAAAAACATTCTATGCATAACAGTTTTTAGCTTGTCAACATTGCAGTGTAAAACAAACCACTTGTTGCTTCTAGAAGCCTATTCATTTCGCATTGCCTATTTGCTGGGAATTGCAGCATATATTGCCCCATAAACTGTCGCTGTCTGGGGAACTGTAAGAAACAACAACAGAATTAGAAGTCTTGACTTTAAAAAGCAAAGTTATTGAATTTTGAAGGATATTTTTCACTGAAATATGATTTCTCCAGTGTATGTTTATTTTTAAAGGGTCTCTGTGATTTCTCCAGTGTATGTTTATTTTTAAATGGTCTCTGGGTTGTTGGGTTTTTTTTGTTTGTTTGTTTTCTTTTTTGCACTACAATGGCAAATATGTAAAAAATCCCAGTCTCCAGTTTTTTGTTTGTTTGTTTGTTTCTTTTTTGCACTACAATGTCAAATATGTAAAAATCCCAGTCTCCGTATTCTACACAATGTGCTATTCAAGAGGAATACCACTGGTAGTTGTTCTTCTGGGTAACTGATTAATAGAAACACAGGAGCCATTAGCTTTGACATAAGGTAGTCGGATAGATGCTGACAGATTAGCAGACTTTAATCCCTAAAACTGGGGGGTGGGGTGGTAAGAGACTATACAATCAACATAGCAGGAGGAGGAACCATATATGTGAAACTAATCCTAAAAGGTTGCATCAGCCATTTTGAAACTCACTTTAAGTGGTTATTCTCCTGGTCTTAACATCTGGCCAAGATTATGTTGAAGTGTTTTGGAAATCTTCGATTTTTGCTTCCCAGTTCTGCAATACTCAGCCTGATGAAGGGCCCTGCTGGAGTGGAAAGCTAGCCTGTGCCTGCTTTTGAGTTTTTAGTGATCTAATAAAGCTATTGCCCACCTTTCTAGTTGATAGAAAGTATCTGGGTTTAAATATAAAATGTGAACTCCAAATGCCACATCTGTTTTGGTCTCTTCAAGCATGGTGAATGAGCATGGGGACAAAACCAGTAACAAAATAAATGCTGAATCCAGATGAAGTAGAATATGTTGATGATTCGGAGTACATGGAGTCAATGGGTCTCTAGTAGGGTCTCTACAAGAAAGTCAAAAGTGTAGCCTCTGATACCTAAGAAACTAGGTATGAAAAGATTTAAAAAAGCTTGGGTGGAATTCCCCATTAGGCACACATGATGTGGGGAGGATGCCACCTTTGAAAATAGTGGCAATTGTCCTGTTTTGAACTCTTATCTCCTAAGTGAAACAGTTCAAAAGTCAAAAGTGGTTACCCCAACAGAATACTTTCCTTCTCAATATGTGCTCCCATTCCAGAAGCAAATCTCTTCTAACTTCCATCTTTCCCTGTTTTCTTCCCTTTCTTTTAGTTTAACTTTGTGGGCAAACTGCTGGGTCCAAGAGGAAATTCTTTGAAAAGGTTACAAGAAGAAACAGGTGCAAAAATGTCGATCCTTGGTAAAGGTTCAATGAGGGACAAAGCCAAGGTACAGTGCCCAAGTCTTGATTTTCAGCCATGTGGATTGATATTTCAATGATATTTTCAGTTACATCATATGTAGAAAAAATAATTACTATATGCCATTCAATAAATGTTAAACTCTTAAGACAAGCTGCCCTTAATTTGTATACCCCTGAATATGCCATTCAATAAATGTTAAACTCTTAGGACAAGCTGCCCTTATTTTGTACAGGAAAAGTGTGACCCCTTGTATGTTATTGGGTTGCAACTCACATGATTCCACATCATTAACTATGTTGGCAAAGGGATGGTAAAATATGCAAATTTGGAATCCACATATTCACTGCCCTTGATGTAAAACTTTTACCTCTGGACAGATACGTATCATTTTACTTTGCTTGCATTCTGTTCTTTTCCAAATTAAATTTGGGAAGAAAATCTGGAATTGAGTTGAAGCATCTTGCAATTTGCATTGCATAGCAACTACCATGAACAAGAGGGTTTTTTAAAAAAATGTGTATCTTAATCTGGCGGTACCTGACCGCATTGACAAAAACTTGACATTTTTTTCTTAATCACTGAACTTCAAAACTTTTAGTGCTTAAATTATAGAGTGTGCTTTTTAAAATCAACGATGTGAGTTGTTTGCTTAACATGATGAATACAAGAGGGAATTGGGCCCATCATAAGATAACAACCAATTTTCACTGAGGTCTTATGACAGGAGGAAATAACATCCCCTCCATCCTGAGAGCTCTGATTACCTGTCTGTCTCACTCGATGCCTTTAAAACTTGTCACTCCCAGACTGGGCTGGCATTACAAACATGTAATAAATCTCTTCTTCAACAGTTAAAGTGATAAGATTACACACAGTCAAGCTAAATGGTTGAGCTTGCCATTCTTTTTTCCTTTTCTACCCTCACATTGCTTTCTTAGTACATCACAAAATAATTTCAAGCACCTTGGAATAAAGTGAGGAAAAGGAGCAATTACAAACCTACAGACAAGTGAAATTTGATTACAAGTGGGATTATATATAGATATTCATTTTCCCTAGAGAAATGTTCATGTCTTCCAAAGTAGTAATCATTCAAAATAACATTTGTGCTTAATTTTTTTTCTAAGTACTTTGGCTACTGATTATATGTGCATACTTAACACACATCTAAACATTTTTCTTCTTCTTAAAATTAAGTAAATTACACAGGTATGGGCTATACTAATTGTGTATGCTCTATTCCTCTGTATATCTAGTTAGTCGTCAGTGGGGGTGTGCATTTTAGGGAGACCAAGAGGAGCAGCTCCTCTGTTTGGGACCATACTCTTCAAGCCATTGTGTCTGTTACCGCAGACCGAACCCTCCTCTCATTCATAAGTGTCAAAATGTGATAGAAGGAATTTCAGATAATTTGAAGGAATGCCAGAATTCAGAGATGGGGTAAACAGAACTCACTGTTTCTACCATACCTGCTATCAGAGTTTATTTGTGATGTTGTATGATGATGTATGGCATGAATGGTTGCTTCCACTAATTTTTTAAAAAGATGTTTGTTTCCTCCCTCCCTCCCTTCCAGAGCACTGCACAATTTAAAATTATGGACATATATGAATTATTGGTCCTTCAGAGTGAGAATACACTGTAACATTTATCTGTAGGGGCAAGCAAGATGGTGGAGACTATCTTTTCCTTTTACATGGACATACAGAGACTTGGGAGGGGAACCCTAAATTTGTGCCAGGGGTTCTCCATACCACACTAGTGTCTGCAGGTTGAATGACTATTGTTTTACTAATAAGTACAATCGTGTGTGTGTGTGTGTGTGTGTGTGTGTGTCTTTCATTAAGGTAAGTATACCAATGGTACAAACGTCTTTGCATAAAAAACAAAACAATGAGGCAGGAATTCCTTTTCTTTCAATAGCCCAAATATTGTTAGTTATTGAAAGAACAGAAAAGAGTCACAAGGAAGATCTTAAAATGGTTGAAAGGTCCCTTTGCCTTTGTTAGAATCCCCTTAGCTGCATCCTTGTCCATTTTCAGTTTCGTCAAGCTCTTTTTTCTTCTGCTTATAGTCACTCTTTTCTTCTCCCTTGAAGGCCTCACCTTCTGCTATGCTGGCCATTCCACCACTCCCTCTCTTATCTCTCCAGCTCTGAAGAGAGGTAGGAGGAGGAAAAGAACAGGTTTATGTTTTCAAACATGGATTTAAGGACCAGACACCTTCCCTCCTTTGAAATAAACAGTTTCTTTTTAGGAAGTCAGCTGGCAGTGCAGCCCTGGTTGTCTTTACTCAAAAATAAAGATGATTATGTTCAAAAGGGCTATTCCTAGCTAAGTGGGTATGGAATGGATTATAGCTTGAAAGGTTATAAGAGTCTCTGAAAAGGGACCTTTTCTTCTACCGGGTCTTTCATTCTCCTCCTCCCACCCTCCCTTCGTCTCCCTCCCCCCTCTTTCACACACACAATCTCTCTCACAAATACACTTTGTATGCAGGCAAAATACAGTTATAAAATGCAAAAAGCTAGTGTCCCTTCCTCAACAAAGAGAAGGCAGGAAGCATTCACAAGTCTTCTGACATTCACAATTGAGCACTGTCATTTTTTCCAGTTTAACAAGCAACATCACTTAGCATGAATGCACACAATTTTGAATTCGGAAGGCCTGGAAATGGGATGTCACTCACAGCTGTTAGCTGCGTGCATTGTGTAAACACACTGAAAGGCAGTAGCAGGCTCATTTCTTGCAAAACAATTAAGCAGAATGGTGACTGCATGTTTTGTGTTGTAGCTCAGACTCTACAAGGACGACAGACCTAGAATTCAGTCTTAACTAACCAATATAACTAAGAGCAAGCTGAGCTGACACTGAATCAGCTGAGTCCTTACCCCATCCTATCTCCCCGAAAAGTCTTGAGGTCTTTGTTTGGCAGGGTGACTGTGTCCCTGAGCTGACAGAGGTTTGTACCTAGTACATAACTCACCCTTCTTCTCTGGTTTTTAGGCTCTTCTGCTGGCAGATTTCAGTCCTCCAAGTCTGGACAGCAAAAGTGGGATTTCTAGCGTGATTTCTGCCAGTAGAAGTGGCACCTGTGGATTCCTAAGCCCAACAGCTAGCACATCTTTGAGTTAGAATTGCAATGCTATTTTTTTTTAAAAGGAACTTGTGAAAACATGTACCAGTGGTGAGACACACATCTAGCCCAAACCTAGTCAAACAGGTAATATGGCTGTCATGTTTTCCTTTCCATGATCATTCAGATTTTCCTCTTACTGTACCTGTTCTTATGTAGTGTCCCCTGTTCTTATATAGTGTCCCCTTTGTACATACATCAAATTCAAGGTGACTAGATGTCACTGGTTTGGAGCTGTTGCAGAAACACAGAGACACACAAACACACACACACACACACACACACACACATTCTTCTTTAGGAGAAATGGGAAGGTAATACTTTTTTTGTTCCATATATATTACAAGGTGTCTAGATCATCACATTAACCATGACTTCTTGTGTTTGTGAAACCCATCAATTTCAAATGTAGAAGTAGCTTGTTACGTCTTGAATTGGTGTACAATGTTGACAGGGTGTCTCCCTAACAACCTTGACAATGTTTTATGTGGCATCCTCAATTATAGGGTCTGAGTTGACAGTTGTGTCCACGGGGGCAGCCACAATGGGAGATGACAGCAGCCATCATTAGCCACTCAGTTATATCCCATTGAATTCAATGTTTTACAAGGGGGTATTGTGTTAAATACAGGTGTGTAAGAGTACACATAATAAGTGCAGCTATGTAAAAAATACAGGCCAAAATAAACAGGTTTTTTAAAACATTCAGATATCGGCTTTCAGAAATTGACCAGCAGTTGAGGAGAGTATTTGTTACCAACTGCTTGCTAAACTTTTCTTTTGTGTTTGTTTTTAAATGGTGTCTTAAATGGGGCTTCTGATTTAATTTTGTTTTAACCATTGCTTTTGTTTTGCACTTTGTGTGTTTTTTAGTTAATATTACTGAGAGCTGCTTTGAATCCTCAATATCCAAAATAGAAATATAAAACAAATCAATAAGCAGATAGTTTTCCTACCAGTGTCATAATAGATTTGTAGGCCAGAGATCTGCTGGATACTTGCACACATGCAAGAGGAACCACAGCTAATTAATTGGTTGCCAATTATGTGTTGATTGTGTGTCTGATAATTCACCTTATCATGCACCCAGCATGCTCTTGGCAGGCTCCTGGCACTTTAGGGATTGGTTACAATTTCCCGTGGCAGCTTCTGCAGTTCCTCTTGTAATGTAAATATCCCAAAAGATTTTGACATTGCTCATATGGATTATTATTGAAACGTTTTTGTGGCGGAATGCCCATGTCCCACCTGTCCGTCATGTGGAGCTCTAGAGCTGGAGCCTATGAGGGGACAGGAGGGGCGGAGTTAGAGAGGCAGTTGAGATACTGAGAGTGAAGGAGAGAGGAGGTTTGGAATGTTGATGGGAGAGATTGGAAAGTTGGTGTAGTTGGTTGAGGTGATAAAGAATAGATAGAAGTATAATAAAATAGATAGACAGTCATCAGATCTTATTCCAGTGAGTGATGTGAAGTAATACAAATAAAAAAATTGTTTAATATCCGAGTTTAATGAGTGCAACATAATAAAACATCTATGAACCTACTTGTGTGATTCAACAACCAAATAATAAATAATCAGTTATATTTGACAACGCGTGTCTATGCAACATTATTGGTAAAGTATGGATAAAGATCCACTGGTGGCAGTTGGTAGAAGGAGAAATTAGCAAGTCATGTCCAAAGGTGGATCTGGGTTTGAGGGAAACAAACTAGGGACACTGGGGGTGTGCGACAGTGTTGCTCAATGAGAGGACAGCAAATAACACCATAGACAGGTATTTAAATGAATTGTATGTCTAAGTCCATAATGTCTATTTTTTGTTGGCATAGACTTTTACCAGGGCTTCTTCGAAAGCTTGCATTAATAAGGATTGCAATAATACAATTCCCA